GAGTCTCCATCCCTGGAGACATTCCCAGCCCTCCTGGACGTGTTCCTGTGGGATCTGCTCTGGGGGATCCTGCTCTGGCAGGGCTTGGATGGGTGATCTCCTGAGGTTCCTTCCCAACCCCAGGCATGGTGGAGGTGATTCCTGAGCGTTGTGTGCCCGTGGCCAAGAAGGAGCTGCTGTACCTGGGCACGGTGGGCTGGGCCTGCTGGCTCAGTGGCATCATCTTCATCGACCGGCGCCGCAGGGCTGATGCCATCCAGGTCATCTCCCAGACAGCCAGGACCATGAGGAGGGAAAACGTGAGTGGGGAGCCCATGGGGGGAAGATCAAGCAGGGAAGGACCCGGCAGGTCCCAGGGTGCTCTGGTGGGTTCCATGTTCTCCTCTCTCCCCACCCCCTGCAGCTCCGGGTGTTCATTTTCCCTGAAGGCACCAGGAACCAGGAGAAGTCCATGTTGCCCTTCAAACGTGGGGCTTTCCACCTGGCTGTGGAGGCCCAGGTAAGGCCATCCCACCCTGGGGCAGCAGGAGAGGGGGACCTTGGGGTCTTTTGGGGTCTGCAGTCCCCAGGGACAGGCACCCTGGGTGCTCCAGGGAGGGGATGGGGACCTGCTGAAGGGCACAGCAGGAGCTGGAGTCCCACCTGACGAAGGGGGGGTCTGCACAAGGGACATCCCTGACCCTTCATCTCCTCCAGGTTCCCATTATCCCCATCGTGTTCTCTCCCTACCGGGACTTCTTCAGCTCCAAGGATAAGAAATTCACCTCTGGTGAGTGGTGGGGAAGAAGCCCCCTTTGCTGGGAGGCAGGGCTGGTGGTGGGGAGGAGGCTTGGAGGTGTCCCTGGTGGACACAGAGGTGTGGGGAGGCAGCTGGTGGTGGGAAGGAGGTTTGGAGGTGTCCCTGGGGGACACAGAGGTGTGGGGAGGCAGCTGGTGGTGGAGGATGCTGGTGGGAAGAGCTGGTTCCTTCCTGGGGGGGTTGGTCTAACAGCATTCCTGGCCTTTCCCTCCCCTCTCCAGGGACCTGCACCATCCGAGTCCTCCCCAGGGTGGACACCAAGGGGCTGAGCCCAGAGGATGTCCCTGAGCTGACCCAGACTGTCCACCAGGCCATGGCTGATGCCCTCAACCAGATGTCCCCAAACCACCCAGGGGACCAGCACACGGAGCAGCCTCAGCTCCCCTCCAGGGCTGGCCAGGAGCTGGGCAGCCTGGACCCTGAGGAGGACACAGCTGGGACCAGAAACTAAGGAGAAGCCCTTGGGGACGTGAAGGAGGTGGCACAAGCAGAGCCTGGGCCACCCTGTCCCCTGCAGATGTGTCCAACCAGCCCTGCCACCACCTCAGCAAGGTGCAAGGGGGGGGAAGGAGAAGGTCAGGGGACCAGGCAGGGTCCTGCAGTCAGTGCAAGGTGTCCCCAGACCCCCCCAGGGGTATCTCCTGCCTGTGGGGCAGGTCCAGGGCCCAACGTGGGGCTGGGGGGCAGCAGGAGGTCCAGGTGGTCCTGCTGGAAGAGCATCCTGGCTGCTGGGAGCTGAGGGTGCAAGATTAAAGGGTCTGTCCCTGGGGGGTGCCTGGTGTCCTGTTGGGGGGGGTTGGGGGGGCTGG